ACACACACATACACGCATATATATAAATGTGTGTTTGTAAGGTTTTATCCCAAATTTGAACACCCTGATACAAATGTTCATTACTACTGATTGCAACTAGTTTTCAGTGAGAATGCTAGCTCTGTAAGGGACTACTTTGAAAGAGATAGCAGAATTTGTGTATGAAAATAATCTTTTTCTTTTTTTTATTATTATATATCAATTTCCCTCAGCTTTCACACACACACACACACACACATATATATATATCTCAGTAAGTTAGATGAGTATAATATAAGACTTTATTTTACATCAAGCCTTTTTTTGTTTTAGAAATAGTTATAACAGTCTTTATATTAAACTTAGATAAATTCTTTTCAATTGTAGTTGTGAGAGAGTTGGTGAGTAGAACAATATATTTTGATTCATTGGGTTTATCTGAAAGATCCACTCTTATATTTTGAAATATTTTACAAACTTTTTGTTTCACGTTGAATATGAAATAGAGTATTGGAGGAGTTTAAAAGTATATTCAATATATTTTTCCTCTGTATATAAGTATTTAGGGCAAAAATGTATAACATGAAAATCTTGTCTACTTTGTCATTAATTTTTCCTATGTATAATAATAGATATGGATACAATAAAAGAACTTTGGAAAATTAATTCTGATATAAAACAACTTTGTTGGAAATTAGAAATGCTAAAGAAATAGCTGGATAGATAAACTTTGTTCGTATTGTTTAATAAAACTTGTTTGAAAGAATTTTTGCTACCTAAATACCGCTTTATATATATATATATATATATATATATATATATATATATACACACACACACAAATCAAGTTGTGTGTTAAATATGGTATATGTGGGTAACAGCCCTTGATTTAAACATGTTTTATTAAATAGAATGAACAGGGGATGTCTGTTAAGCATATGAATGCACTTTAATTTCAAACTTCAGACTGTTAATATAAACACTACACTAGTTATCTATCATCTTTCTACTGTTTTTCATAGAGAACATATGGTCAAAAGTACATCCAATTTTGGTGAGTTTGCACATGACATCACCCACTTAATTGCAAAAGGCTGAAAAGACATTCCCTACCCATATACATCAGTTGTCTAGTCGCACCGAGGAGCTGTGAAACAGTACTGTCTGCAAATGACATAATTTAGCTCTTGAAAATATATTTTCAATTGACCACTGTTGAACAACAAGCTAATTCTAAAAACAATGGTCAACTGCGTAAATGCAAAGCTCTTCAGTAAAATGAATGGAGCACTGGCTGCTTGGCATTTGTTTACATTTGTAAAAACAATACACTAGATTTGGCTGATTCATTCTGTCAAGTGAAGATGGCTCTGTGGTAGAAGCTCTGACTGACACCAAATCGGTTGGGTTGGGTTTCAATCCGGGCTTGAGGCATTTGGTTGTCTAGGAGCTGTGATACAGCTAATTCTGACTAAGTTGTTTTCTGTCAGAATTAAAATTAGTAAACTTTCCAATGTTCATTTCTTTTTTAATCTTCATACATTCTACTGTTGCTACAGTTTTTATCAAGAATTGCATGTTTAGTCTGTTTATGAAAATGTGTTTGGCTAATTCCTTCATATATATATATATATAATTATTTATTTTAGGATATTAAAACAAAAACATGTTAAAAATCACTATACAATTACAATCATATTTCAACACAACCCTAAAATAAATAATATTTAGCTCTACTTGGTATTGAGCCCTCTTTTAAATTAAATGTTACGTACAGTGGAATTACACTTCATTTGATCTCATTTTACCTGGATATGTATATATGTACATGAAAACTAGTTGATTATTTTTTATTTACTTTTTCAGTATTTCTAATTTTTTTTTAATTTCCAATTGGTATTGGTAAATAAAACAAGTTTAATTAGTTTAGTTTTGACATTAGTTCATATGTATCAGTATATTAGATTTCTTGGGATTTTTTTTGTCTTGTTTGTGGATGCCGTGTAGTTGGTTCTTATAGAATTGTTTAATAGTATTTTTTTTATTTTATTTTTATTTGAATTATTGTTTGTTTTTTTTATTTTTTTAATGCTAATTTAATTTTAAGAAAATTGTATGTGTAAAGAATATTATATATTATCAAGGCCAATGACTTTCTGTTAGCCAGATGCATATTTATGAATGTTCTTAAATTTAAAATTCTGAAAAACTAATGACATTTTTAGTTCTGTTTTTAAATAGTTGTTGCAAAATAAAATCCTTGATAAAGTGCTTCAGAGGCTAACGTTGGCTAAGAAAAGTTTTCCTTTTGTCTTTATTGACACACACACACACACACACACACATCTTTTAAAACACAAGCTTTGAATAGATTCATTTGATTGGCGTGAGATGATTGACTGAAATTTAGAAGAAAATTAATTTCTTTTTAAGTATATATTGTAACCATGTTTTTTGTGTTATTTTGGAGCATAAATGGATTGAGTGAAATTTGAAAAATAATTTTAGAATACTTCTCTATATTATTTTCTATTTTATTTGTTGCATATCAGATTGTGTGTGTATATATATATATATATATATATATATGTATATAT